CTAATCCCTGTGAGAGTGCCCGGGCTGTGGAGTTGGATGAACTATGTATTGCCGGATATCCTGTGCGTATTAAGGCAATACCTCGGATCAGTTGTTGCAGTGCTTCTCGTTCCCCAAGTTCTCCTAGTTGTCCCAGTACTTCCTTACGTCAAATTGGAGCAGGTTCTTGTAGGAATATATGCGGCAGTGAAATGGAGTCCTGTAATCTGGAATTCTTAAGAAACTGGCTGACAACTTTAACTAGGTTTGTGGTTATTTGTTGGAACAAATTTGATGCGGAGTAAATTTCATATTAAATTTGTTAAATAATTTATTTTCATAAAAGGTGATTGTAATTAGTATGTGTAATTTTTAATGACTATCATTTTTTTGCTGTGTACATGCATATGGATTATATTGAGAGGGAGGGAGTAGGAAGTCGATGTGCACGTTTCGTTGAAATATGAGTAGCTGAGTGACTTTATCACGGTGGCCCCCAAAACAAAAACAGAGGAGCTCGAATAAGCAAAGAGTTAGTGAAGAGGTAGTGAAGAAGAGCACTGAAGAACACTGAAGAGACTGGCGCCATTGATTCCCATTGCATTCCCATGAAGTTGAATGCAACTCCCACGCTTTAAAGTAGCTCGTTTGGGGTATTTGTCACGTCTTTGTGGCGGGTCTTGAATGGCCGCTTTCCTAGGGAGGAAAAGTCGCTTCAATTTCATTTAACTTTATCCAAGCCCTATTCTAGTCGAGTTCTCTGTGGAACTTTATTTACGAGCACAAAGCGTGTGGCGTCTGACTAGAATTCTGATGGCCAACGGAGTGGCCAGAAGGGGGGTAAATAAATGGCTTAAAGGTTACTAATTTAGAGATAGAGAAACAGAAATTAGAAACGAGAAGGTTTTAGCATTATTTCAGGTAAATGTCTCAAGTTTTATATCATTTACTGAACTCGTAGATCCTAAATTCCCTTTCTATGAGTGCAATTTTCATTACAAAAGCTCTTTCAACATTATTTAATAAGTACTATACGAGGGCGTAGCTTGCCGCTTAAGTACTTAACAAAAAAAGGAGAAACCCAACCAAAATCGATGGCAAATTGTCAGTTACTACTGTGTAATCAGGCAAACAATAATAACAATTGAGCTCCGGCAAAAGGCTTTCAGCTCTCCACACTCTACACTGATTTGCTAAACAATTACGAGTACGTACACTCACTCCCAGGCCGTACAAGCACTTTAGATAAGAATCTTAATAGAATTGCAAGGCGAAATGCAATGCAAACACAGAATACAGAACCCAGAATACAGACTACAGACTAACAGATACAGATACACAAAAGCCTGGAAGAGAGTTGCAACCTAATGATATTTATCAACGATTCATACAATTTCCATGAGGGCATCATCATATTTACAAGTTAATATTTACGCTAACAAGATTTCCTCGGCCCCACAAAACAACAAAGTTGCTGATCTAGCCACGGGCTCTACTCGGATCTACTCCCAACTCTTTTGGGGATCTCGGATTTCCCTCTCGCCCTCTTTCGATCGTCATACAAAAGGATCGCAGCAATGGCACACGGCTGCAGAGATGGAGATACTTAGATACAAAGGATCGGAGTTGGTTAGGAGAAGGGTTGGGAGAGGGAGTGGAGTAGAGACATGAGTAGACAAGCAGAATGCTTGTTAAAGCCCACAACATGCTGATTTCATTAAAGATATCGCCGGATGGCACTGCAATCGCTGAAGGGAGCCACTTTGCATGTGGCAGTCAGAGAGCAAAAATTTTCAAAAGAACACTGAGGGAAATAATGGAAGAGATCGAAAGGGTTAGTTATGAAATATTAATATTACTTTCTGGAGTATACATCAAGCAGAAATTGATAAAGATATCAGTAGGATTCTTAAAAGACTTGAAAGGGTTGTCTAAAGCTATTCAATCGTTGAAAAACACTCCCTTTCGTTGTGCAGAGGTAAGGGTATAATTGGGTATATAAGAATGGCAGACATAATACTATTTATTTTATAAATAAATAGATAAAAAAGTATTAATCAATAATTTTAATGTGTAAGCAATAATTTCAATAATTTCTATGACCTTCAAAATTTTAAAAAGAATATTTGTAAGAAAAGAATTCAGAAAGAATAATGAAGCCTAAGTTTTAAGACCTCTAGGCTTTTAAATATAATTATTATAGCATCTCTAATAGGTCTAACATCATTTTAATAGAATTAAAATAAATCCCTCTCTTGTAATTAAATTTCTTTCAGTGCCCAGAATCAGTGTCTACAGAAAGTCATGTTTTCTCTTGATGCAAAATCTGTTTGCTGATGCGAAAGTGAAGCTTCGAGTCTAATGAAAGTCGCTCCAGACTGACTGACTGACTGACTGACTGAGCTAACTTGGCCAACTAATAGCTTTGGCAATAAAATGGCAATTAAGTGCCTTTACGGCCGTATCCCCATCTTCCTGGATCTGGTCCTGGTCCTGATCCACAGCCATGGGGCATCCTTTTATGCCCCCGTAGTTCGAGCCATAAAAATACTTGTTTACGCATGTAACAACAACTCTATATAGAGAGTGTGTAGGCTTTTGGCAGATTGCTGTTTTTTTTTTTCTAGACTCATCTTAGTCTCGCGCCTTTGTGCATTGTTTATGTTTATTGGTCGCATAAGTTGGTGCAATTTTATAGTTTTATATATCGCTAACACATGTCGAATGCAATTCAGCCTTTGGGCGGGCCCAGTTTACGTTTATTGATTTTAAGTGTGAGTTTATGCTATGCTCAGTCTCTGTCTGGGGTTTAAAAAATAAAGGGAGGCCATAAAACGCAATTCGTTCGCCATGTCAACTTCATAAGCAGCGCACACGAATTAACGCATCCTAGGATTGGGTTCCATGCTGAGATTGCTAATGAAATGGGGTTATGGAGGGGAGAGAATATAACCCAAACAAATCAAAAGATTAAAGCAGATCGCACCGTGAAGACCTTGTTTGGATTGACTTTATGGCCAACTGGTGACTTGTGAGCAGCAAGAACAACAGCACAGCAGACACCTAAGAAGCCCTTTGAGTTGCAATTTAAGTATAATCAGGGCAGTTAAGGCCAGTTTAATGGGGTTTTTTATGCCTTTGAGGGGGGAAATAATGGATTTATGATTTGTATTCCCCTATAAAAGAGGTTCTTTTTGGGTATTGAATTTGTAATTGGAGAGAATTTATTACTAAGATTATTTATGACTTTAATTTTGTACTGAATTCAAGCAAGAAAAACCAAGATATAAAATATATATATTTTAAATCAAGAACAAAGACCACTTAACACATTCCCTTCTCCAACTTTCTGATAGATTGCATCTTCCATTAACTTGCTTTTAATTTGTGATTTTCTCTGACTGATTTCTGTATAATAAATCCATGACAAACCAATTTGATTTAAAGTGGATTTCAGTGCTGATCAATGACTGTGCTCTTGTGACTCACACACGCTGCGGATGCGTAATATTTGTAAACAACTTCAGCTGCCATTTCTGCACTTACTCTTTTTCTCTTTTATTTTTCTCTTTTCTCTTTTTCACTCAATTTCAAAACTGTTTATTTCCGTTCTACCTTTTTTTCCTTATCTCTATTCGCTCTCCCTTTATGGCATTTCAAGTGTAAGTATTAGTTATCGGAAATTGTGGTTGGTTTTGCCTCGTTTCTCGTATCTTTTTTTGGCGCAACCCGTTTGGAAATTAATGCGAATTCGATTTGGAAATGTTTGACTTTGATTTGAGTCAGCCCCCAAAACTTCACGGGAATCTTTTATTGCAGTAAACACAGATGTGTGCACTGAGGGAAATATTTAATGGAATGAGTATAGGGATTTGTATAATTCTAGGGAATCTTTTTATATAAATTTACATGTAATAGAATTAATAATCAATTTTTAAGGGTCGTATCCCTTATTTGTATTTATTGTAGTACCTTTATCTTTAACACTTCTTGACATCAGTTATTTTATTTAATTTTATTTCAAGAAATGGTCAAATACTGTTGACTTAAAATAAAATTTTATAAAATTTGTAAGGCAGAGGGACTATTGAAAATTCTATTGAAGTTTGATATGAACCTTTGGTTTCCTAACTCTATTATTTAACTTGTTTATTATTTTATTTTTGTGTGAAAAAATCGTGTGTGCGCTTATTGAAATGCAAACAGTTAGAGAGCACTGAGCACAGAAGCTACATGACATGGCAGTGCATATTTGCATAAGAATTAGAAATCTGCGGCGTGTCGGCTCGCAAAAAAATCTGACTTTGGCTCGCAGAAAAGAAACAAAATCTTGTTGCGGCATGGGGCGGCCATATAAAGTCGGCGGGGCATACCGAAAATAACTTCGCAAACATCAGCAACATCAACTGCAGCAGCAGCAGCAACATCAACAGCAGCAGCAGCAGCTACAGCAACAGTAACAGCAGCAGCAGCAACAGCAACAGCAGCAACATCAAGCAGCACACGAGCAACCTCAAAATCGCCCAGCAGCAACAGCAACACAAATGGCAACATTAGCGCAAATTTTCAACGAAGCACAATTTGAATTTGAATTTGAATTTTGGCTTTGGTTTTTGGCCAAAGCGTTGCCTTTTTTGTTTTTGTGCGACACTCAAACACGTTTGCTGTATATATTTATTTTATTTTTTTCTATTTGTTTTGGGCCTCTTTTTTTAATATAAAGAAAAAACAAATACAAGCATAGCAAAGAATTCCCAGCGAGCCAATGACTCCGAAAAAAAAGACATGTGTTGATTAACATAAATGATTTCTGTGCGGCTCAGCCTGTTCCTCTGCCATTTGTAAAATGTAAAAGCATTTTTGGAAACCTTTATTGCTGTAGTTTAGTTGTAAGCGTCAAAACGCAAAGCAAACAAAAAAAAAAACTGTAGAGTCTGGCAAATATTTATGAACTTAATTGGCATATTTGCTCTGCGCGAAAGTCACTTTTTTTGGAGTTAATTAAGAAATTTGTAACATACCTTTTTGGTTGCAATTTTCATGCAAAATATCCCAACAATGATGTCCCAGTGCTGCAAAGAGAAAGCCAAAGAGTTCGTTTAGTTTTCATTTGTCAACTATGTATAATCAATGCAAATATTTAGAGGTTTCGATATTTCGGCGGGGCTTTTGTTTAGTAACAACAGAAAATATTGGCACGCAATGCGTAAATATGCTAATTTCGCGTTGTTGTATCTTTCGCATGATAAATGTCTTGACTAAATGCATAAATTTTAAGTTGAGTTGAGCAAACACACACAGCTGAAAAGCAGGTAGTTGTTTAAAGGTTGCTAGGCCAGTTTCGTTTGCCCAGCTGGACACAAAAAAAAACAAAAAAAATGAACGAAAAAACATGGTGCCAGACTGGGCCATAAACTAAAAAGCAAATCGATAATGCAATAAGGCATAAATTAGCGGGTGATGAGCCTCAAAGTTGATGAAGAACATGGTTAATGCATTTGGGAAATGGGTTTTAATGGGAATCTTATTGTGGTTAGTGAATTTTTAATAAGAAACTAAGCTAGTTTCATATCCTAAAAGTTAACAAACAATTCACCCAACAATTCTTATGAATTTTATAAAGATGTATGATATTTTATAGAGGGAATTGCACATACCAAGGAACTATAGTCAGAGCACCTGGTAATATTTTCCCACATCTTTACTCCTAAGCAAGTAATACATTTATTTAATAGATAATCCCTTAAACATATGTTTATTTACAAAAAAACCCAAAACAAATCAAGGCCAAGACCCTGGTGACGTTGATTGCGAAAATGTCTCATGTATAATTTTCCGAGCATCTTGCACAATTTTTCTTGCCTTTGCTTTGAATTTACCCCTCCATCCTTAGCTTTGGTTTAGCATTTGTTCTCCTTTTTGCAATTCAATCAGCTGGACATATAGTACATACTATATAGCCGGGCCAACGGAACGGAGCGGAACCAGACGTCATTTGGAATACAAATCGCCTGATGTGGACGTGGATTGTGGATGTGGCACATCAGGTTTCGCCATGGCCGTCACTCAAAACCAGTAGAATTTCTAAACTGGTCGAGCTGACTTGACTTGAGCGACACAAAAGGCCGAGTGAGCGACTAACAATGCATCCCCGCATTTGTACACCAAAAATGTATAACAAATTCCGGTAGGTGCCGAGTGCTGTTTTTACTTTCAAATGGCATTTACTATTCTCCTGAAAGCCGACTCAATTTGCGTGTGTTAATTGAGACTAAATGGTTGGAAAACTGCAAAAGACAGACGTCGGCCCTAGTGCTTTGATTAATTATAGACAGTCTGTCATAATTTACGACTGTTAATTTTGCTGCAAGTGTTGCATGCGAGAATCCAATAAAAAACTGGAAATGTTACACAATCTATGGGGGGCTATGGCATCTTGAAATGGAAAGGGAGATCTCAAAGATTTGATGTTTTTCTAACCCAGAAAAACAGAAAGAAAGCAGGCCCACTCGAAGAGTTGACAAATCATTGCCAGATTTACTTTTCAAGAATTAATCCGCCGCAGACTTTTTGGAAATTACTGCAGACTCATGGCCTAATCAAAAGTAAGAGTTACCCAAATTGTTCATCAGCAATGAAAATATTACAAAAAAAACCTGAGACTCTCTGGGGGCATGAATTAACCCATATTTTCAGTGAGGAGATGAACACAGGCTTAACCCCCGGCTCAAGAGGTTTGCGTGCCTAGAGCCCATTGATCCAAGTGATTGAACAGCAAATGGCAGTTGCAACTACTGCGACACACCTTCAAGACAAAGCAAAATATCCAAGGAAAATAGCAAGAAAAATAGCAAGAAATCGAGAGAAATAAAAGCCAAGCCAAGTTGCAATAATGAGCAACTGCCAAAAGGTAGATAAGCCAGTGTGGGTGCCATAGCCACCTGCATTTTCCATTTTCATTTTTTCCACATTTTTTTGATGCCAATTTGAAAGCCCGCCAATCCATAGAAACTCAAACTCAAACTCAAAACTCAGCTGCCATTCGATCGCAGCATGTGACTGCCAAAATATTGCATTGTGTGCACACGATTTCGTTATGCATTTCAAATGCAAATTGGTTTTGAAAGGTAATTGATCCCCACCGGGCCAAGTTACCTCCAGTCAATGACAGAATAATTCTCTGACTTTCAAATGCTGTCGCAGGAAATACAAATCTCCGGGAAAAAAAAACACAAGAGACCCACAAAATATATATTTTTGTGAACTGATTTTGTATGCTGTCAGCGATCTCAACGAAATCATGGAAATTAAATAAACTCTGCACGATCTTTGGGACATTTATAACTTTGAACTTGACAGCGTCTGACTAGATGTCACTCTATATACAGTGAGACCTCCCTGATAGGGGACACATTGAGGGATTTATAAGTATATCAGAGAGGTTGTAGGATATACAAAGTCAGAGTTCAGGTTGTGGGTTAGAACTTAATTGGGAAGTCATTGAATGAGTAAGTGAAGAATCTATAAAAATGAAGTGTAAATTGCAAAGAGACCTCTTAACATTCTCAAGTAAGAATTTAGGTATATTCTGGGTTATACAAATTCAAGAACTTTGTCTATTTTATGCGGATTTATTGTCAACAACTCTTTAAAAAAGTTTTCTTAAGAAAGAAATTTTAAATGCAGTTGAATAACAATTATTTATACTCAGAATATATATTTGTCATACATTTTCCAAGACCCACTGTACCTTCTTTCTAGGCTTGCCTATCTGCCTTTCGGTTGATATGACAAGCGTTAATTGATTTTCATTTTCATCTTACATTTTCGGAGCTTCTTCGGCTTTCCGGGACAGAGCTCTCAATAGAACTCTAATCGGGCTGAATGGTTCATTACGCATGCATAGAAGCGTTACAAATTAACCCAGTTATTTATGATTATTTCGCTTTAAATTTGGGTATTAAAAATGATTTAGCTGCCATAACAATTGGTGTGCGCAGCTCCTCCGCCGCTCGACTGGATCCGTATCTGAATCCGGATCTGAATCTTGAGATGCAACTGGGGAGTAGGAGAGAGATCTCTTGTAAATTGCATAATCACCACACAGCTGGACGAATCTTGCTTGGTTTTATTCTCATCTAGCCGGGCCTAAAACGTGTTTTCCCAGCCGGCTGCTCCATTTTAGAGTCTCTCCAACGTGGTAATTGCCTTGGCAATTTGCAATTGTGCGGGGCTCTCTGGTTCTGGCAGATTGATGCCTTAGTTTGATAATGGCCAATGTCGGGAGGCATGCAATTTTAACGGTTGCTCCTCGGTGTCGGAATGAAAGAGGAGATGTTCCCTGCTTTCAGAGATGATAATTCCCCCCAAAAAATATAAGAACAAAAACCTGAGAGAAACAAAACAAAACAAAGGGCAACAAACTTGAGAACAGAGAACTGGGGGAAAACTGCAACTGTGTCATGTGAGTCACACGATGACAAAGATGATCCCGATTTTGTCTGCCCCAAAAAACCATCCCAAGTCACGTGCTCTCTTAGCCATATATCACTTTTTTATTGCCAAAACTTCTATTGTCTGGCTTTGCCAGATTTTTGGGGCTACAAAAAAATGCATTTAAAAAACGATACAGGTGACAGAAAATTAGCAAAAACAAAGTGTTATGTGCGACAGCTGAAAGAGCGACAATTAGGCGCATTTTGTGTGTGTTTCGAATTTTGGTTTTTTTCTCCTTGTCTGTCTGCCAGTTTTGTGTGGCTATTTGCTATTGCATTGAATTCCCCCCGCAAAAAAAAATAAAAAAACACCAAAAACAAAACCGAAAATTGTGCAATAACAATTTGCGCTGCACAAAAATGCGCGAGCAGCTTGGTCAGCTAAAAAAAAGAAAAGAAATAACCAAAAAAACAGCAACAAAATTGAAAACTGAGACAAGTTGCGTGGCGGCTTTTGTTGGGTGCGTACACTTGGATAAATAATTATTAGGTTTATTTTTGGTATTATTGTAAATGTTACAAAGGTGAATGATTGCAGTGGAGTTACTGCTTTAATTTTTGGTAGAATTCTTAGCTAGTTCTAGAGGAAAAATGGTGGTTATACCTCTTTAAGTATAAGTTTTTCAGGAAAGGATACTAAGAAAAGATTCTGATAGAACTACTTGTCTTTAAGAATATCTCCGGGGTTTTCAAAATAGAGTTGTGTTTTTAAATCTATAGGATCTCTTTTTATTTAATTATTTATTTTAAAATATTAACTACAAAATTCTAACAATAATAATATTTATATACAAAGAAAAGAGTCTCTGGTTTTAAAGTAAAGCTTTTCAAATGAATTAAACAAAGTCGAATACCTTATAAGAAAATAGTACTTATATATATTTTCCGGTGTAGTTGCATTAGATGGGTGGGGGTGAATGTGTGTGGTTGGGGGTGTGGTGTGGTTTTTGTGGAGCTGCTGCTGCTGCTGCTGTTGCCTCCACTAGTGGCAATTGTTTTGGCCTGGGCATAATATTTGAGACACTGCGACTCGAACTCGAACTGTTTCACACAGTTCATTAAGCGAAACAAATAAATAAATAGAGTTTAATTGTGCAATCGCTGATAGAAATTGTCAACGCAGTCGCCTTGCCATCGGAACCGTAAATGGACAGAGACGCAATGGAAAATCGCCTGTGGAGTGAGAAGGGGTTTGGAGTGTTAATAGCTCTGCAGGCCTAATGAAGGTTAATGGACATGAAAACGTGAAATGAACCAGTGGAAAATTGTCAAAAAAAGAAACACATTTATATATCACAGAGTGTGAGTGTGAGTGTGTGTGGGGGGGGGGGCAAAAATCATGCAAAATGTACAGTTAATAAAACGATCGAATTTCATTAATTGTAAATTAAGCCCGTAACCAAAAACGCACACAAGAAAGAGCTAGCTAGAGAGTGAGTGAGTGAGCGAGAGAGTGGGAGGAGGCAACTCTGCTTATGGGTTGAGTTTTCCCCCTTGGCTTTAGCTTTTTCCTTGGAGTTTTCTTTGGCTTGGTTTGGTTTTGGTTTTGGTTTCGGTTTGTCTGCGTTTGGTGGTGC